GAGAGCGGTAGTGATGGTGGTAGAGGGTGATTAGTGGTTGTGATGGTGGTAGAGGGTGGTAGTGATTGTGGTAGTGTACTCACCTATTTGTGGTTGCAGGGGTCGAGTCCTAGCTCCTGGCCCCGCCTCTTCACCAGTTGCTACTGGGTCCTCTCTCTCCCCGCTCCGTGAGCTTTATCATACCTCATCTTAAAACTATGTATGGTTCCTGCCTCCACTACATCACTTTCTAGGCTATTCCACTGCCTGACAACTCTGTGACTGAAGAAATACTTCCTAATATCTCTCTGACTCATCTGTATCTTCAACTTCCAATTGTGGCCTCTTGTTTCTATCTCCCCTCCCTGGAACATCCTGTCTTTGTCCACCTTGTCTATTCCACACAGTATTTTACATGTCGTTATCATGTCTCCCCTGACCCTCCTGTCCTCTAGTGTTGTCAGGCCAATTTCCCTTAACCTTTCTTCATAAGACATTTCCCTTAGCTCTGGAACTAACCTTGCCGCAAACCTTTGCACTTTCTCTAGTTTCTTGACATGCTTTATCAAGTGCGGGTTCCAAACAGGTGCTGCATACTCCAGTATGGGCCTGACGTACACGGTGTACAGTGTCTTGAACGATTCGTTATTAAGGTATCGGAATGCTGTTCTCAGGTTTGCCAGGCGCCCATATGCTGCAGCAGTTACCTGGTTGATGTGTGCTTCCGGAGACATGCTCGGTGTTATACTCACTCCAAGATCTTTCTCCTTGAGCGAGGTTTGCAGTCTTTGGTCACCTAGCCTATACTCTGTCTACGGTCTTCTTTGCCTTTCCCCTATCTTCATGACTTTGCATTTGGCGGGATTAAAGTCGAGAAGCCAGTTGCTGGACCAGGTGTCCAGTCTGTCCAGGTCTCTTTGAAGTCCTGCCCGGTCCTCATCTGATTTAATTCTCCTCAATAACTTCACATCGTCTGCGAACAGGGACACTTCTGAGTCTAACCCTTCCATCATGTCGTTCACATACACCAAAAATAGCAATGGTCCTAGGACCGACCCCTGTGGGACCCCGCTCGTCACAGGTGCCCATTGTGATACATCATTATGTACCATGACTCGTTGTTGCCTCCCTGTCAGGTATTCTCTGATCCATTGCAGTGCCCTTCCTGTTATATGAGCCTGATCCTCTAGCTTCTGCACTAATCTCTTCTGAGGAACTGTGTCAAAGGCCTTCTAGCAGTCCAAGAAGATGCAATCAACCCACCCCTCTCTCTTGTGTCTTACTTCTGTTACTTTATCATAAAACTCCAGAAGGTTTGTGACACAGGATTTTCCTTCCATGAATCCATGCTGGTTGGCGTTTATACTCTTGTTCCGTTCCAGGTGCTCCACCACTCTCCTCCTGATAATCTTCTCCATAACTTTGCATACTATACACGTCAGTGACACAGGTCTATAGTTTAGTGCCTCTTTTCTGTCTCCTTTTTTAAAAATGGGAACTACATTTGCCGTCATCCATACCTCAGGTAGTTGCCCAGTTTCCAGGGATGTGTTGAAGATTGTGGTAAGTGGCACACACAACATATCCGCTCCCTCTCTAAGGACCCATGGGGAGATGTTGTCCGATCCCATTGCCTTTGAGGTATCGATGTCCCTTAGCAGTTTCTTCACCTCCTCCTCCTCATCTGTATGTATGTCATCCAACACTTGTTGGTATATTCCTTGCTGGTGTCCCCATCTGGTCTGTCCCCCAAGAGGCCTTCCTGTCTCCACTGTAAATACTTCCTTAAATCTCATGTTGAGCTCCTCACATACCTCTTGATCGTTTCTTGTGAGTTCTCCACCTTCTTTCCTCAGCCTTATCACCTGGTCTTTGACTGTTGTCTTCCTCCTAATGTGGCTATACAGCAGTTTCGAGTCAGACTTGACTTTCAATGCTATGTCATTTTCGTACTGTCGCTGGGCCTCCCTCCTTATTTGTGCCTACTCGTTTCTGGCTCTTCTACTAATCTCCTTATTTTCCTGGGTCCTTTGCCTCCTGTACCTTTTCCATTCTCTGCTGCACTTAGTTTTTGCCTCCCTACACCTTCGGGTAAACCAAGGAGTCGCTTTGGTCTTCCTATTATTTCTGTTTCCCTTGGGAACAAACCTTTCCTCTGCCTCCTTGCACTTCGTTGCTACATATTCCATCATCTTGTTTACTGATTTTCCTACCAGGTCTCTGTCCCACTGAATCTCCTGCAGGAAGTTCCTCATACATGTGTAGTCCCCCCTTTTGTAGTTTGGCTTTTCCCATTCAGTTCCTGTTTCCTTCTCCACTTGTAACTCTACTATATAATCAAAATTCAGAACCACATGATCGCTAGCTCCAAGGGGCCTCTCGTAAGTGATGTTCTCAATGTCCGAACTTCTCAGGGTGAACACAAGATCCAGTCTTGCTGGCTCATCCTCCCCTCTCTCTCTGGTAGTGTCCCTGACATGTTGTTAGGTAAGACACATATGCAACAGTTAGGTATCTTTATTTCGAAACGTTTCGCCTACACAGTAGGCTTCTTCAGTCGAGTACAGAAAAGTTGATAGAAGCAGAAGAGACTTGAAGACGATGTAATCAGTCCATCACCCTTAAAGTTTTGAGGTGGTCAGTCCCTCAGTCTGGAGAAGAGCATTGTTCCAAAGTCTGAAACAATGTGTCCCTGACATGTTGATGCATGAGGTTTTCAAGTACCACATCCATCATCTTGGCTCTCCATGTTTCGGGACCCCCATGTGGCTCCAGGTTTTCCCAGTCAATCTCCCGGTGGTTGAAATCGCCCATTATCAGTAACTTTGCTCTGCTCGAGTGAGCTCTTCTTGCCACCTCAGCCAGTGTGTCCACCATCGCCCTGTTGTTTTCTTCGTACTCTTCTCTTGGCCTCCTGCAGTGTGGTAGTGACGGTGGTAGAGGGTTGTAGTGATGGTGGTAGAGGTGGTGGTGATGGTAGAGGGTGGTAGTGATGGTGGTAGAGATAACCTCTCCTCCCTCTCCCCTCCTTGCTGTCTTCCTTATGCCAACAAGAGTTTTCAATGAAGGTAAAAGTGATTTAAATGTTCATTTATCCTTTCCATTAGTGCTTTATATTTATTTCTCATTGTTTTCTGTATGTAAAACTATAGTTATTCTCTATAAAATGTATTTTTTTTTAATATTTTTGGGTGTCTGGAATGGATTAATTGGATTTACATTATTTCTTATGGGAAATATTGCTTCAGCTTTCGTTCAATTCGGTTTTCGTTAGACTCTCTGGAACGAATTAAAGACGAAAACAGAAGTTCCACTGTATTTGTGAGTGGACTTGTTGGCGGGTGGGGTCTATGAAAGACAAGGTGAATCATAAATTGATGAGGGGAAAAAAGTGGGTGGTGCATTGTGGAATCTGTAGATCTTTGATCATTATTCATGGAGGCAAAAAGAGGAATGTATGAGAGAGTATTGTACCAACACTTATGTGGGTGTGAAGCATGGGTTGTGAACCTTGCAATGAGGAGGAGGCTGGAGGCAGTGGAGATGTTGTGTCTGAGGGCAATGTGTGATATAAATTAGGAGGTGTGAGGTTACTTAAGTTATCCAGAAGGCTGAGGAGGGGTTGTTGAGGTGGTTTGAACATTTAGAGAGGATGGAACAAAATAGGTTAGGCAAGTGTTGAAAAATTCCCAGTGTCAAGATCCCAAGATGTGTCTGACATATATGATGTAAATTGTTTAAAAACATGACAAATTGAAGAATAAGACACATTTTTGCAACATTTGGGACTCTATTGTGGAAATGTTTTGCCAGCCAGTGGCAAAAAGTATGGCATATGCATGGAGAAGTGGCTTATATACTGCAGTCAGGCTAGTTGAAGCAGCAGGACTCATCAGTGGAAAAATCCACTAGTATAAGTAGGTCATGCCTATAGGTCAGGCAAGCACTGAAGAATTCCCTGTATCATGACTTCAAGTTATTGCCAACTACTGGCTGGCAATAACACTAGTCGCATTTTGTATAAAAGTAGACTGTTCCTGAAATATTTAAAAATTTTTATTTTAGCAACCACCTTAATAGACACCCATGTTACAATTTATGATGCCTTCCCATATAATAATAATCTGCATCTAATTTCATGTTTTTTTGTCAATGAAATTATAAACAGCACTTACCACAGATTTATCCCTTTCTTTCCTTTCCCCGTCACTCTCCCTTTCTCTTACTCTCTCCCATTCACTTTGTACTGTCATTGCATCTCACACTATTTTACATATGCCTCTCCATAAGGAGGCAGTTATGTGGTAGTGTTATTGGTAATCATACTTGCCACAATCCTCCAGTATTCACCACAACACTACATCACGAAATACCACTCCCACCACTCACCAGAAATCCCACTATACACAGCCACTCACCATCGTTCACCATAACACACCACCAAATACCACCAGGTATTATCTATCACCACAAAACCACCACTTGCAAACACTCATCACACCATGTCACCACATACCTATATCTTTAATATAGGTACAGTACCACATTTTTTTTTTTTTTTTTCAACAAGTTGGCCGTCTCCCACCGAGGCAGGGTGACCCAGAAAAGAAAGAAAATCCCCAAAAAGAAAATACTTTCATCATCATTCAACACTTTCACCACACTCACACATTATCACTGTTTTTGCAGAGGTGCTCAGAATACAACGTTAGAGCATATACGTAAAAGATACACAACATCCCTCAACTGCCATCCCAAACCCCTCCTTTAAAGTGCAGGCATTGTACTTCCCATTTCCAGGACTCATATAAATTATATATATATATATAATATATATATAATATATATATATATATATATATATATATATATATATTTTTTTTTTTTTTTTTTTTTTTTTTTTTTTTTTTTAACAAGTCGCCGTCTCCACCGAGGCAGGTGACATATATATATATATTATATATTATATTATATATATTATATATATATTAGATTATATTAATATAATATAATTTCTGCAGATGAAACAGCTGGAAGACCTTGAACAATAATCTCTTCATTGTATTGCAAGAGTCAACGAGGAAAAATGTCCACTCTTTATTTTTCCCTCCTCTTGGAATTGCATGGTTTTGTATAGCCTTAGTGTTATGTATTCACTCGAACAGCATTTTGTATAGCCCATAACCTCAGTGTGGTACGGTAGTTGCATTTATTCTTTACATTAAATTTCACATATGTTCATCATGTGCTTAAGGTTATTAATGAATTAAGAATATTTTATAATGTAAACTTTATTAATTGTAAGCCCTATAATTATGTTTTAATTTTTAAGTAAGGTGCACACCTAAACTAGGCATGTTTTTAATTTGATTTTTCTTTTAAGATTGTATAGCATGTAAAACTATGTAAACACACACAAATTAACAAAATTATGAGGACACTACCTCTCTCTAAAGTACAGTTCTAACCCATGATGATGCAAGGCGATGCAGTCTTGCATTGGTGGTACCAAAATACAGTCGTATGTCGTATTATAATATGTATAACCAAGGCTGACAGGTATACTGTATGTTGTATATGACACCACCAATGTCATTGCTATTTGGAGTACTATACAGTGGACCCTTGAGTTTCGTAAGCCTCGTGCTTTGTAAATTTCGCCTTTCGTAACTTTTTTTCATCAAAATATAGCCTCACGGTTCGTCATTTGCCTCGCAATTCAGTGGTCGTATGGAATGCATCTGAGAGCAGCCTCCACTGTCCGCACCTGCTTGCAACTGCTAAATAAGCCACCATTGGCCCAAAGAAAGCTTCTAGTGCCAGCTCTATGGTAAAGAAGGTGAGAAGCATGATGAAATTCAAGAAAGAACTCATTGCAAGGTACCAGAGTGGAGGAGAGAGAGAGAGGGGAGAATGTGCCTTCTTCAGTGATTCAATGATTCTACAATATGTACGATACTAAAGCAGCAGGAGTCGATAAAGGCTATGTTACGCAGAAAGTGGGATTGCCTGGGTGCTAAGGCCTTGTCTAAGGGCAAAGGTAAAAGTTACACACATCTCAGGCAGAAACAGGCCACCCAGGGCTATCCCAGTCAAAACATAAAGTGTTAAACCAGCATTTATTACTTCAATGTGTTGGTTCACAGAGGGTTAGGCAAAATTCCTAGCTAGGAAAATAGACATTTATTAGGCATAACACTATATACACTCTCTAGAAAAACACCTTCCTATATCTCCTATCCTGAATACCCAAATAACGGTACACAAGGAGCAGGTGACTGATGAGTCCAGCAAAACATAAACACTTAGCCCAGCGTGCGCCCGGCCTTCCCTACTCCACTACCGACACCATTTCATCTTATGTCCTCACTCATCCCACAGAACCCTGACCATATCAGAGCCTAGGTAAGCATAAAGGTGAAGCATAGAAGAGCCTATGGCTTAAGTTAGCTAAACAAAAGGAGTACCCAACTTCAAAACTCGGCTTAAATACACGGCGTCCCAGACGCCAACCTTCACCCCATGCTGCCTCCATGTGACTGAACCAAGCCACGCCACCCACGCATACCCGCTAACGAAACACAGTTGGAAAATAAATCCCTGGCAGGATTTCCTTACATTTACAGTTTAAAGTACTTTACAGTACCCTCAAATGGACATTATGAATTATAAAATTAAGATTTACATTTGTAACATTCATATTTTTATGGCACACTTCTCCACTATATATATATTACAATGTCATGCAGAACCCTGCATAACAGATTATAGCGCCAGCCAGCAATAAAGTGTAGCATTAACAGTGTAGCAAGTAAGTTAAGCGATTAAGTGATAGAAAAATGACGACACGAAACTTAACTCTTCCATTGTTGTTTGAGGTATATAAGGCACTGACAACATATGCCGCCCTCTTCTAGCATCTCCTCCAAAGTAAGTGTAAATATTTCTTATTTATAAATTACGTACACGTACATTGTTTGTGAATAGTGGTAATGGCCTCTGCTGCCGCTCCCTACTACTAATATATATGTATGGCATATGCTCTCAGTGGCCCTTATAAACCCAACAACAACACACCACCATCACTTGTGACATATGTAATGGTGTATTTTATTCATTCTAGAGTATCATATTTCTATGTTATTAATATTGTTTATTATGTCATATTAGATGAATTGCGATAGATATATAAGCCATAGAGTTGATATTAGCTCATCACATTTAAGTATTTTGTCCTGTCTCCAAACACACTCCCTCTCCCAACAAGGGTCTTCAATAAAAGTGTGTAATAGAGATTTAAATGTTCATTTATCCATTTCGTTAGTGCTTTATATTTATTTCTCATTGTTTTCTGCATGAAAGCCTATATTTAATCTCTAAAAAATGTATTTTTTGTTAATACTTTTGGGTGTCTAAAACAAATTAATTGGATTTACATTATTTCTTGTGGGGAAAATGGTTTCGCCATTTGTAAATTTTGCCTTTCGTGAGACTCTCTGGAACAGATTAATTACAAAATTTGAGGGTCAACTCTATTATTATACTGTGCAGAAATATCAGTATTTGTTTTCCATGAGATTTCATCCTGATGCTGTGACTGCCAGATTGTTACTCAACATTTTCTCTCTCATGGTATCAGGGACTCAGAGATAGTAATACAGTTGGTAGAATTACCGACAATATGTAAAGTAAAAGGATACAAGTGCAACAAATGTGACATTTTTATTGTGGCAACGTTTCACTCTCCAGGAGCTTTGTCAAGCCAGCTTGACAAATCTCCTGGAGAGTGAAATGTTGCCACAATAAAAATGTCACATTAGTTGCACTTGTGTCCTTTTACGGCTCAGAAATATTTTTGGCTTTATATAGATTTGATATATATGAGAGCCAAGACACCCACCTAATGTAAATTAGAGATTGATGTGTCTTGCTCAGTTTCTCACCACACTGGTATGATTATTTTATCCCCATTTTAAGGCTTTATGGCTTATTCCAGTTAGTCCTGTTTTGTTGTGTTTTTTATTTTTTAAATTAGTATAATAAATTCCTTAGTTTATTTATTGATAATGATGGGTATATAGTATTTAGAAGTTTCTTCTGAACACAGTGTACATTATTATAATTTGATGTTGCTTCTTTGTATTAATGGCTGAATGAATTGTTGCTCTGGAAGCTGTGATGGGTTCATAAGCTTTATTAAAAAAATTTCAGCTGCTTGGGTTATATATTTCACATAGTATAAAGTTAGTATAAGAATATTTTATTATTTGCATTATATTGTACAGATGTAACTTTTATTCTCCTTCCTCCTCCAGTGTGTCAGCCTGCCTTTATCTTTCCTTCCTCCCTTCCTCCACCTCTATTCCCAATTTTTTTGTCTGTGCAGCTTGGCTCTTTTCTGGCCAGGTGTCCATTTTCATTTTACTTGGTGCAAGATAGTACATACTTCAATTTATAACCATTCAATTTCACTCATTGTATTTCCTGCACTCAAATCTGTTTTTCTTGTAGTTATTCTTTTTTTTATGAACATTACTATAAACCAATTTAACTGTTGTAATAATAAAGCTAATGACTGCTGAGAGCTCGAGGAGAAAAGGACACAAGTGCATTCACTTAGGACACTTTTACTGAAGATATTTTATTCCTTGGACCTTCATCACTTCAGTTGTATGTGTATGAGAGAAGACAGGCTATATATAGGGGCAGGAGAATGTAGAAATAGTATTGGTGGTGGTTATTACTACTGCTAATATCAGTTACTGCTATTAGTGGTAATATCAGTTAGTAATATTAATACTACCAGTAACTATTTATAATACCACCATCAGTTATCATTAATACCACCATTATTACATTCTCCTGTTCCTCATATATATATATATATATATATATTTATATATTTATATATATATTATATTTATATATATATATATATATATTTATAATTTATATTATTATATTATTATATTATATTTATATATATTTTATATATATTTATATATTTATATATTTTATTTTTATTATTTATATTTATTTATTATATTTATATTTTTATATATTTATATATATATATATATATTTTTATATATTATATTATTATATATTATATATATTTATTATATATATATTTATTATATATATATATATTTATATATATATACAGTGGACCCCCGGATAATGATATTTTTTTCACTCCAGAAGTATGTTCATGGTGCCAGTACTGACCGAATTTGTTCCCATAAGAATATTGTGAAGTAGGATTAGCCATTTCAGACCCCAAATCATACACGTACAAATGCACTTACATAAATACACTTACATAATTGGTCGCATTCGGATGGTAATCGTTATGTGGGGGTCCTACTGTATATTTATATATTTTTTTTTTTTTTTCAACAATGTCGGCATCTCCCACCAAAGGAGGTGACCCAAAAAAAAAAAAAAAATTTTCCCATAAATTTTTTTCCCCCAAAAA